ATAACATAATACAATTATTACGTGTTATTTTTATTATTTATATTTTAATAAAATTATTAGTGTTATTTTTATTATTGTATTATTTCCCTTCTACGTGACTTTACCGAAAGAACCAGAAGATGAATCCCTGCAGTCACGAAACTTTAAATCGAAATCGGGTGACAGGCAAGGACTGCAATGTGTACGAGAGTACCAACATCGAGGAGTGGAGCGACGGAATCAGCTCGTGTCAGGTGGCTGCGTGAATTATTACCTGGTAGAATCGCATGCCTTCATACAGCAGTGGATAGACCGAGTGACACGTGTAATGGGCAGCGCTGTGCATCGAGATGGAAATACGATCGTGTTGGTTTGTAACACCGCACAGCTCGCTGCGATTATCTATCTACTGTGGACGAAGCCGCCTCCGGAATCAGTCGCCACCTCTCATCGGTCCGACGATGCCGGCGGAGGCAGAGGGTAGCCGGATGGACTAAACACATCCCACGGGCCAAAACGTTGCAAGGAAACACGAGCGAACCTACGGCGAACTGCTCACCATGAATACATTTATTTGTAGCATCATTTTTTCTATTTACTTTACGAATCGTACGGCGTGATGTCCAACTTCCGTGGCACGCCGCCACCTATGGGAGAGTCCAAATCCCAATCTAATTGTGGACGCGGGCGAATTTTTTAAAATAAATAAATACACCATCCCCAAATCCACCCCCCACCACTCCAATTCCCTCACCCCTCCACCCCCTCAACCCTCCATCCCCCTGACCCCTCCATCCTCCTCCACCCCTCCATCCCCCCCCCCCCCCTCCCCCTCACCACCCCGCACACGCCCTGCCTGCCCCGGCAGCACCCCACGACTGCTACCCACGTGGCCATCAACACCCCGGGCACCGTAACCCAGAGAGAGAAAGGCGCGCTCGCTCCAGGCGTGCCACGGGAGAGACGTCGCGGCGTTCGCGACGGGCTCTCTCGAGCGTCGTCATTGTGGTGGTAAATTTCGCTGGAAACATTCTCGTCAGATGGTTCGTGAAGGGCGTTGCTCAAAAAGGTGGGTGGGGTGGGTGGTGCAAATCACCTCCCTGCCTCCCTTCACGCTCTCTCACTCCGTGTAGCTCTCTGTCGCCTTTTCTCGCCTGCGACCACAAGGTGGAGTTTGGGTTCAGAGCGAGGTCTTTGTCTCAGGTCCAAAACGACGAGCGGACAGCGGCGAACAGCACGAATAGAATTATTGTCCTCGATACGAGTTCACGCATTCCAATCCGGCACTCCGATTAGCGCGGTTGATTTGGTACGGTGCGAAAAAGTGTTACGTATAGTCGACGCGTTTCTTGAATTGAGAAAGGTTTCTCTTTGTAAGTACTTGATACAATGAGACGACGTGCGGGGAGGGCGGGGGGGGGAGTTAGACGTGGGGATGAAAGAGAAGAGTTGTGTCCTGCGTGCGGTGAGTGTGGACATCGGTGGGTGAGCGATTGGGTGAGTGTGTTGTTGCAGTCTGCGGTGTGTGGCGAGTGAGTTGTGAACTTGAGTTGTTGAGTGAGTGAGTAAGTGGTTGAGTAAGAGAGTGTACGGGCGAGTAAGTGAGTGTGTTGTTGCGACCTGCAGTGTGTGTGTGGTGAGTGTGGGATTGGTCGGTTGGGTGTGTGTTGGGTGAGTCAGTGTATGAGTGGGTGAGTGAGTGAGTGTGTGGTGAGTCTGGGATTGGTCGGTTTGGTGGATGAGTGCATTAGTGTATGCGTGAGTGAGTCTATGAGGGGTGGGTGGGCGAGTGATGAGTGTGATGTTGTGGCCTGATGTGAGGTGGTTCAACACGGTGTGGACGAGACGTAACAAGTCAGTCCGCTACTGTTAGTTCCCCAAACACCGGTTGGACAGCACCAGGCAAACAGGTACCAGAACCGATTCTGCCCAACCCCGATGTAATCATGCGCTGGGCATCATCCACACCCAGGATAGCTCTCGCTATGGCTCTGGCTTCTCGTCCATGACGTATTAGATGATTGACACTTACTCCAGTCCATTCAGGATACCAGAAAATGTGCAGGATTAAATTAAGCCTGTCGACATGTTCTACCCTGCCGGGAACGATCGCTGCAAAGTGCGCAGAGAGAGAGAGAGAGGAGAGGTGCATGCCGGGTACACAGACAATGCTAGAGCAGGCCACGATGGTGATGATAGTGATGGTGATAGTAGTGATGATGGTGATGGTAATGATGGCGATGGTAATGATGGTGGTGGTGGCGATGATAGTCTGTGATGGTGATGGCCGATGCGTGTGGCTAACAACGGAGTGGAGGCTCAATGGAGGAGTGTCCTGGAAGAATAAAAACCTCTAAAAGGTAATCGTCCATAAAATGTTTTTTGCTAATTGTAGATTAATTGTGTGTACGAAGTGAGTGAATCAAGTTCGTTCTGCTGCCTTTCTATAGAGGAGATCATGCAGAATCTGAAGTGGATCATCGCGTATTTAATCGAGACCAGCCTGGTTAAGTTGGTACCCACATACACGCGGCTTTCCCAAGTTGTCCCAACACACCTCAACAATTGATAGCCTTCGTGGTTTCCCTTGGCTCTCCACTGGTCGATTCCCGCATGGCTCTGCGGCCCCATGAATTCCAAATCACTCCCACGTGGCCCGCTGATTGTGGCTGTAAAGGGCTCTGACCTCCCACGGTTGATTGCCAGCGCCAGGTCAACCGACTTTGGAATCCCACGATCCCTCGAGTATAATATTGTGTAAAGAAGGAGGCTTTTGTCTTCGTAGCCGCTCGCTTGAAGTGATGTAATAATTACTCGCAGCGAGCGAGCGAGCGAACGGCTGTGTGAGCGTCCCAGATTGCATTCCGTTTATCTTCGCCCCCCCCACCATCCACAGCTGCGTCCCGATCGTGCGAGATCCGTTGTCTTCTATGTCACCTCCACTGTCGCGTACGGCCGAACGTAGAAAGTCAATCGCGAAATTGAGATATTTTAGGTCGAGTTTATCGAGCCGATTTTGCTGGCGGGTTTGTTGGAGGTCGTGCGTAGCCCGATTGACCTCTGTGCGCCAGGGTTTGGGGGGCACGCACGGATCGCGTGAACAAACCCCCGAGAAACGAACGAGAGAAAGAGAGAGAGAGGGAGAGAGAGAGGGGGAGGGAGAGAAAAAACCAATACAAGAGGCACGGTATGAGAAAAATAAGCAACAATTCTTGAAATGAACTACAATGTGGCCCTGAATTGTGACAATTCATCGAATATCTGCGGATAAGGCCTCCGATAGAGAGAGAGAGAGAGCTGTAGGCAGCCCCCCCCCCTCCCCTCCTAGAGGGAATGTTTGGCCTACTCTTCCACGCCGGCCAGACGTCTCGAACGCGTCGGGAGGTACCCACGCTTCACCCCACTAAACGCGACCCGCCAATCGACTGCCTACGCTGTAGCCACTCGCACCGCTGGTTCCACTCAGGGGGTGGGGGGGCGGGGGTGAGGGTGCGGGATGGGGGGCATGGGGGGGGGTATAAGGGCGCGGGGGGGGATGTGAGGGCATGGGGGGGGTATAAGGACGCAGGGGGGGGGGTGCGGGGGATGTGAGGGC